GGGGGGGGCAGATCCCGTTAGGAAAAGGGGGAAGCCCTGACCCCCCCTCCAAAAAAGGGGGATCCCCCTAATTTCGGGTCGCCCCCCCGTCACCTTCTGGCTGCGGTTGCCGCCGTCGCCGTCCTCGGGCCCCTCCTGCGCCGCCCCCTCCTCGCTCGGGGGGTCCTTGGGGGGGTCCCTGTGGGAATTTGGGGGGTGCTGGGGGGCCCCCGGGACGTGGGGCACCCCGAGATGGGGGGGGGGGAGGGCGGTACAACCACCCCCAGCTCGCTCCAAGGGGGGGAACTCCTCGATTTCGGGGGGACCCCCAGCTCCTCCTGCCCCCCCTTCCCCCCCAGTTTTGGGGTCACAGCCCCCCCCAGCTGCTCCTGCCTGCTCGGGGGAGGGGGGGGGCAGCTCCTCATTTTTGGGGGGGCACAACACCCCCCCAGCTGCTCCTGCCCCCCCCTCATCCTTTGTGGGGCACAAGGACCCCCCTGGGCTGCACCGGGTTCCCTTTTTGGGGTGGGGGGGCTCCGGAGGGGGGGCAGAGACAGCAGCAAATCCAGGGATTTACCTACGGAAAAGGCTCTTGATCTTATCCCACACAGAACTAACTTTATCCGCCAGCCTGGGGGGGGGGGCGGCACCAAAACAGAAACACAGGACAGTCAGTGGGGCCCCCCCCGGCCCACGGAGACCCCCCCTCGACTCGGGGGGCACAAACATCCCCCCCCTCGGCTCGGGGACACACACACTGACCCCCCTCCTGCCCACGTTCCCGCGGGTTTAACGCCCATCCCCGTGTCCTGGGGGGCTCTGGGGGGGCTCTGGGGAGTCTGGGGGGGCTCTGGGGGTCACTCACGAGTCCCGTCGGCGCCGCAGGTGCTCGAAGACGAGGAGGCCCCGGGCGTTGACGCTGCAGAGCAGCTCCCGGTCCCGCAGCAGATCCATCCGGAACGGCCTCTCTGTCACCAGCAAACGCAGCCCCCCCGGGCCCAGCGACAGCTCCAGGGTGCCCCCGTCCCTGCCCGTCACTGACAGCCTGGAAAAATGGGAATCAGGGGATTGGGGACCCCCCAAAACACCCCCCGGGCGTGCCCCCGTCCCTGCCCATCAGTGCCAGCCTGGAATTGAGGGAATCAGGGAATTTGGGACCCCAGGGACAGCTCCAGGGTGCCCCCGTCCCTGCC